GAGGAGGTTTTCCAGAGGGATTGGGGTGGCGGGAGGCTCCCTCAGAATTCCGGCTTTCCCGTAATGCAGAGGAACAGCGAGGGGGAGAGGAAGGAGGTAAGCCAGGCCAGCCGCCCTCCATAAAACCAGCCTCTGGCGCCCCCGCCGCCGTCAGCCGGCTGGCTTGTGCAATGGGGAGGTGGTCCTGGGGAAGGGCTTCCAAAGAAACACGGTGAGAGCACAAGCCAGGCGTTTCTGAATCACGCCAACCCTCCTGGAGAAATACTCAGTGGCGTGGGTGAAGGAGACTTGGAAAAAGGAGGGCCTGAAGCAGGGGGTGGTGAACCCATTACTCAGGCAGATCCTCCCAGGGGAAAAACAATGTTTGGGGCAGAGCTCCTCTTCTCATCCAGGCTAGTGGCGCTTCCCCTAGTAGAAGTTGCAGCAGCAGAACATGGTAGTGCGCTAGCACTGCCTGCCCTGCCAGCCGGCATGTCTCGCCACTGCTGTGTGAACTGTTGAAGTCCGTGGTGAGTCTTGGTGAGCAAAAAGGAAGCGGAAATCTTTGAGGTGCTGGCAAAGAAACTCATATAGTGAAAAGAAGTTAGGTTCTTTTTAAATGGGAACTGGCTTGCTGAAATGCCCAGTGAGCGTTATTATGTGTACGTTGCATGCCTTAAAAGTATCTGCTAACTCTTCTTTCGCAGCTGCTTGGCTTTTTCCTGGCCTTCTAGTGAGCTGTAACATGGCCGGGAAAAGGAGAGCTGTAGCCGTACCCATTTATACACATGGTTGGAAATAAGGGATGTCACTCTGTAACTGGGTATGTTTCAGGCACTGGCTGTTGCCTTCGCAGAATTGTCATGCAGTAGGTGTCACCAGTGTTACTCCCACCCTCCTAGTGCCTGGGACAAATTCCCAAATTCCTGTGGTGGAGGTTCTTGGGCGGCCCTGGAATGCTGATGCTGTCAGACACCACGTAGGTACTGCACGGGGCCTGTTCTGTGGCCGCGTTGGCCTTTCCGTGTGTTTCTACGTCAGTGTTGATTACCACATGCCATTTAACAGAACTCCCACAAAATAAAAACGAGTGGCATTCCTGTTCCCTCCTGACGGGTCTGTGAAGGCCAGGGGAGACGTTTCACGCTGTTCCTCCCAGTGAGTAAGACGGGTCACATCCCTTCTTTGGCGATGTTATCTTCTGTTCTGAGTAGCAGCTTCTGCGCTGTCTCGAGATAAAACAGGAATGTATGCAGTACTTAAAGTTCATCATTTTGTTTCGTACTGCATTATTTATTTGGAATTAAGAAGGTTAAGTATTTTGTAACAATTGCCATTTACAAGACGGGAGAAAAATAACTTGAATAGCAGTGCCTGAAATGAGATTGTTAAGCAAAGCGATGAATCACAATAACAAATTTTTAGCACAGCCGTCTGTCTGTTCCAGATGGGAATACAAGAGTCTGTATGCTTTCAGTGCTTTGTTCGTGAGCATGATCTGTCTACCTGTGAAAAATAAAAATAAATGAAATAAAGCTTCCCACCACTGCAGCGCTGCTAGTGTAGCCCTAGCAATGGGGAGCTCAGAAGTGGAGAAGATACTGCTTGCTGTGAGTCCTGTTATTATTAAGAAAGCAGAAGGCTTTTCCCGTTTGATGTGCTTTTAACACCAGCTGCTGGCACTGCTCTTTTCCCAACAAATCGGAACTGCTGGTCGTACGGTGATTGAATGCAGTAGAGGTTAGACACATGCTTGGTCTCCAAGTCCACGTGTTTTTCTTAGGAGCTTTTCATAGAAGTTATTGTGAGCTTTTTCTTAAAGGTCTATAAACTCTGAAACCTGCTTCCAAGTGTTTAAATATTGTTTGGTTGCTCCTCTTCTCTTTTTCAGTGGAAGCATGGAGCCTGCGTTTCACAGAGGAGATCTCCTGTTCCTCACAAACCGAATCGAAGATCCAATTAGAGTGGGAGAAATCGTGGTCTTTAGGATAGAAGGAAGGGAAATTCCTATAGTCCATCGCGTCCTGAAAATTCACGAGAAGTATGTCAAGAATTTGGGGGATTGTACTGCAGATGTTTAGCTAAATTGTATTTTTTCCTCATCTCCTTGGGTAAATGCGTGGGTGGGACATCAGTAACAGGTATCCAAGTGCTGTAGGAAGAGGTAACACAGAAGTTTCAGACAGATGAGATCTGCCCTCTTTGGTTTACTTGTAAAGGTCGTGCAGCAGAATTCACAAGCTGGGGGGCCTGTGCTGGTAACCTGGACTCCCCGTGTCACTTAAGGTCTCCTGTGCCATCATTTCCATCCCAAGCTGCTACGTAATGGTGCTGTGTTATCTCCTGTATTTGCTTGTGTGATGTGGCTCTTGTTTGTAGAGGTAGAACTTATGGAAGAAAGGTGTTTTCTATGTAGCATACGTTATGTTAAAGCTTGTTTTTATGCTCCTGGTTCCTGCTCTCCTGCAGAGGCAGGTCTTTTCTCTCTGTACGAAGTGTTGCTTTGTTATACTCGGAGTCTCTATATGTGCTGCGCTTTTGTGTACTGTTCATTCTGTAAACACGTGCCTGAAAGAATGACGCCCAGTCACTCTGGTTTGATTGCTGAACAGGGTTTAATTTTCCAAGCAAGGCTACCTCTGCAGCCGTGAGCTTTCCTATTTTGCTGGTTGGGGAAGATGCAACTGTGACTGCTCCAGGCCAATCTTGGGGGGATACGAGCCAGCCCCATGAGGCATTTGAGTGAAAACTAAGTCTTGAACTGAATCCCTGGTTCTTCAAGCCAGCTCGGAGAGGGCAACAGTTGGATGGGGTCCCAGCATCTGTTTCTGCTGAGTAAATGCCTGCTGCACTCTGAATGAACTGGAGCTGAACCAGGGCTCAGAGATCCGTTCCTAGGATAAGTGAAACACTTGAATCGTATGTAAAGGTGGCATTTGAGGATTGCTCTGGTCAAGTGAGGTCGATGGGACAGAGATGGTCCCTTCCCCCAAGCATTCGTAGTAGCCACAGCTCTTCGGACATCCAGACCATTTGTCTGGCGCAACGTCAAGGTCGAACAGCTTTGTGCGCATAAACAGTCCAGCTGATATCCTGACTGAGAGAGTGGCACCTCTCCCAGTAGACAGAGCAGATTCTTTGCTATTCCAATTCATTCAATGTCAAAAACATTTAACAGTTTCTGTTTTCAAAGTACTGTTCTTTGATACCACTAATTTAAAAATTAGGTCAGTATACTTGGTAAATTTGATACCTGATGTTGCACATACACTTTTTGTCATGTCTTGGGAACTCTTAAGTGAAATGCTACTTTTCCTTCTCCTGTGTTGCATGCGAAAGGCTCAGCTGGGCTCCAGTGCTGCTGCTTGGGCTGATTATTGAAGAGGCAAGAAAGGTCAGGGTCTTCTCTCTCTGCCAGTGTATGGGAAGGAGAAGCAGAAGTGTGCATTCTGTGTGGCAGTTCATCTCCACATATTCTCCACCCTTTTTTTTTTTAAGCCTGGCTCTGTCTCAGCACTTTTTTTTTTTTTTCAAATGTAACAGAACCATAGTGCCAATCCCAGATTCTGTGAAATAAAGCCATTCACCAGTATTTTAGGTTTCATTTAAATAAAACAACGAAACGCAAACCTGATCTCTATGTTAGGAAAGATAAAACTGAAAAATACATACTGTGACCTGAAGCTGGGCGTGGAAGGCAGGACTCTGAGGTATTAGTTGCTTCTCTCTATAGTTGAAGAATATCTTTCTGATGCAAGTTTGGAATTCAGGAGTGTCCCGTGAATGGCCAAAGTTTTCCATTTCTTCCTGTAGTTATGGACTGAATAGAAACTGTGAAAAGTCTCTGTGAAAGCTGACAGGAGTGTCAAAATGAAGGAAGACATTCTGTTTTCCCTGTTTTCCTTGATTTTGTGGCAACTGGGGCTCTAGTTCACATCAGTATTGTTTCAGTGAGAAGATGTTTGTTTTACTTGCTAGCCTTTTCTTCTTTGTTCAGAGCAGAATTGAGTTCATTCTTTGTCACTAAAAACAGAGTCTGCGGTCAAAATTTACTTAGTGGTTTTGGTGCAGGACAGCCAGACCAGATTTCATTCACCTCTCAGATGGCAGAGCAGCTGTGCTGTGGGCTTCTCGTGCTGGTTCATGATAGAGCATCAAATCTGCTCAATAAGATGGTGTGCTCCTGCACCATCAGTCTTCAGAGCTGAAACTGCATTATCTGCACCTTTGGGTATCTTCATCTCTTTCCAGACGATATGTAAGCTCCTAGAGTGTTTGCTGTTCCCACACTGAGCCAAATGTGCTTTGAAGGAAGATCTGTTCTTTTTTTTCCCCTTTTTTCTTCCAAGCTTCTCCTGTCAAGTAACGCACATTGGTATTCAGGCATGATGAAAACAGCGTGAGCTCTGAAGATTTTCTGCGTGTTTTCCTGAGTTGTATTTGATCTGTCGTTTCTGTGAGCAAGCCGACAGAATCAAGCAACGAGAGCGCTCCCGCTCAGCATCTGCCTTCAGATGCCACAGGGAGAGTTGACCAGCCGATCCCCGAGTAGTGGCATAACCCGCTGCTTATAAAGCAAGCATTGCTGGCTCTCCAGCAAGCTGAATGGAAATGACTGGGGAAGGGTGCATAACACGGTGGGTAAAGCTAGAGCAGAGCAGCAACTGTTTCTGGGTCAAAGCAAAGGTTCATCTGCTCCAGGATCGTGTTTCTGACCAGCTAACTAACTTGCCTCAGAACAAATTGAAGACTAGAGTGTGTAGCAATAATTTCCCAGCTGTCTGCACATTGCCATTTTGGGCACAAAGTGACAGTTCTGTATTAAAAAAAAAACCCTTTTATTTTTTTATAGGGAGGACCTGGTTGCTTTTTGAACTGTTACAATACTTTGGCATCCAAAATGTCCTTCCGGAGAGACAGTTTGCATTGTGTTAGTTAAGTGTCCCACCTTCTCTGGCTTGTTTTAACCTGTTACCTCTGAGTTGCATTTGATGCTCTCTGGGTCTTGTGTCAGAAGAGGCAGTGAAAAACGGATTGTTCCTGTCTGTGTCATTTGTATTGGACTACCGTCATATCTCCCATCAGTTCTGTCTTTTCCAGGCTGAAGAGCCCTGGTCTGTTGTTTCTTGTATGGAAGTGCTTCCAGACCTTGTTATCCATTTCTGAACCTTTGCCAGTTCTTCTCTCCATTTCAAAAAAAGGATGTGGGGGGTTCAGAACTGCACAGAGCATTCAAGATGTAGGCACATCGTGAGTTCATGCAGTATCGTAATGGTATTGTTTGTTTTCTTCTGTCCCCTTTTCCTAATAATTTCTAAGTTTCAGCTTGCTTCTGACCACTGCTGAGTAGAACCGTATGCTTTAACCCCAAAGTCTCATTTTGGGTGGTAGTACAGAGCCCAGAACCCGACATTTGTATCTGAAGCAAGAGAAGCATCAACGTGAGGGAGGTCAAAAGCAAAGAGGTGATAGCTGTGCCTTCGCTAGAAGTGGCTCATTCTGTTGTTTCTGTTCTTAAACTCTGCCAGAAAGCTTGGCTGAGGCCAGAATTCATTGTTTCATTGGCAGTTTTTTTCCCAAATCGTCTGCGTTGCATCGCGTTTGACAGAGATTCCCTTTTTCAGCCTGCTTGAACTTTTAGGATGTCATTGCTTCACATATCTTTGTGTTAGTCTCTACGTGCTTGCTCTAGAACAGCTTTTAAAAAGTTCCTTTTCTCTGACTGATCTGCCTGTCTTGTCTTTGCTAGGCAAAACGGTGACATCAAATTTTTGACAAAGGGAGACAATAATGCCGTTGATGACAGAGGGCTGTACAAACGAGGCCAGCACTGGTTGGAGAAAAAGGACGTAGTAGGACGAGCGAGAGGGTAAGTGAAGTTGAAAAAGATGCGGCTTTTTACACTGCCCTCCCCCAATGCCATCTGTTAATCCCCCTCTCCTCTTGAACTCTCCCCGCTGGGTTTTTGTGACCTGCCTGAAAGCATTTCACAAGGTGCTCTGGAGAGTTAAAAAAGCCAAAGGTGGTTCAGTTCTTAGCTTGGCTTAAGCGAAGGTATCTAGCTGTGAGCTGCGTCCTGAGATTTTGATGCTGGATGGACAAAGGCAGTGCGCGCTCAGGCGTGATCAGAATTTTCATCGAAATTGTTCTGCAAGGCACAGTCTTTGCAGGCACGGGGGATCTGAAGAAGGCAGAGGCTAAAACACCCTTTGGGGCTGGTTGTGACTCAGCCCCCGCTGCCATGGCTTATGAGGAAGAAGTCCCAAGCCTGTTAACTGTCGCCCTCGGCGTGCTTGAGCGACTCTTCCTTTGTATGAGTACCAGCGCAGTGCTTCTCCCCTATGCACCCTCCAGTACTGTTTGTTCTAATAAAACCTTTATTCTTTTAGATTTGTGCCCTATATTGGAATAGTGACTATCTTAATGAATGATTATCCAAAATTTAAGGTAAGCGCTCTTTCATTTTCTTCCTGCTTCTCCCACCCCAGCTAAAATTGGTTCCTGAGAGCTTCATACGCACAGGCGGAACTGTTTTGCCCTGTACGTTTGCTGCTGTTACTGCGTCTTTACATGTGAATGTGCACTCTTGTCTCTTCTTTTCTTTCTCTGACAGTATGCAGTCCTGTTTTTACTGGGTTTATTCGTGCTGGTCCATCGAGAGTAGCCTCTTGCACTGAAGTACAAGGTGAAGGTGCCATGGATTTTTTTTAGATGAACGTTTGAAGTAGATGATGGTCCGATGTGCCGGGAGGAAGAAGAAAACACGCATTTCAAAGCTTCTTGCCAGTTTGGGTTTGTTTTGTTTTTTACTGCGTAAGGGCGAATGTTTGTCACAGTATTTCCAATGGTTTGTCACATTTTAGCATTTTTAGTGAGTTTTTATATTAAAAATTTAAGCCAAACTGTTCAGTGTTTCTACTTTGAAGCTGAGCTTCCTCTCGAAGTGCCTACAGGACTGTGTCCTCTAAGTCTGTGCCTCCGCTGGGCAAGCGTGACCTCTCCCTGTGCTGACTGAACTGTCAAATGGTGAGCTGCGGAGGTGATGTTTTTTTCCAATTCAGAACTGGAATAAAGATTTTTTTTTTTTTTTTGCATCTTGCCCACTATGAGCCCTGCCATGTTCTTTGTTATTGCCTGGCTGAGCGCAGCCTTGTTGCCCAGTTTCCCTGGGTGGGGGGTGTCCGTACCTGGGCTTTGCCGTTGCAGACCAACTCCTGGAGCTGAGCGAGCCAACTTGTCCTCTCTTCACAGAACAACAGCAGCTGCTCCTCTTAGTTCTTTTTGGAGAGTGAGCAGTTCCGAGCTGTAGATCCGTTAAAAACTTCTATGTTTCTGTAGATCACGCTGAAATAATCAAAGACTGCAAGGTGTTCTGGGCAAAAGACGGCAAAGGATTGCTTTGTGCCTAAGCTGTCACTGCAGCACTAAAGAACAGAAGAATTGAGGTGGGAAACACCCACAGCTGTTGGGCAGGGATGTAGTAGGACGAAATAGTAAAATTTTCTTAGTTTTGGAAACGGATTTCAGGTCTGTAATGATCCCTGCAGCTGGCCACCTCTTACAGCTCACCGGAAAGCTTCGGAAAGGCTGAGTCCCCCTTGCCCTGAGGTCTGGAAGAAGAAACCACTTGTTACCCTGTGCAACAGCCTTTTTTTCTGTGCTTCTCATTCAGGGTAGTGACGCAGCTTGTGTTGGGGTGGTGTCAGAGGAGAGCCCAAGGGAGAGGCACAGGGCAGAGGCTCTGCAGTTATCCGCTTCTATATAAGTTCGTGCCACCTGCACTGAGCGAGTGACGATTGTAACTCACCTCTGTGGTGTCTGTACTGACTCATGAAACCATTTTATTTCCCATTCGTATTTGTTCCCTGGGTAGGGTGAAGCAAAAAGTCAAGATTGGGACGCCGCAAAGAGTTTACAAGCAGGTCCAGTCCCTAGTGCAGAGCCTTGGGCCCATGTCTCTGGATAATCATAACTTAGTAATAAAAAATGGTAATAAAATCCATATCTCCCGGTGCTGAAGCCCTTGAGGAGGGAATTTCGATACAGAGTTTCTCCAAAATGCTTTGAGTCACAGATGGAATGTTTTGTCAAAAGCCAAACCTGGGCAGTGGCGAGGGAAAACAAAATCCCTCTGAGAGGTGCCATCACCCTGGAGCACCTTCCTGAGGACCCAGAGCAGCATTTCTGCCTTTGCAGGTAGCAGTGAAGCAGTCTCCATTGCCTGCTTTGCCTTTAGCTTAAACTGGTTTTGTGCATAAACTGGTTTTTAACTTGAGCTCACATAAAGGACTGAGTTGAGCTCCTCTGAAATCTGCTAATCAACACCTTTCGGTGAAAACTTTTCTCGCTTTCACACCTTTCCTGAAAATCTGAGCATGTGGAAGCAGTTGTGTTACTGTCACTGTGTTATTTTAACAAAAAAAGGATAAACCACAAAGGATTTATGATTGCGGGGGGTGCAAGGATTAGCTCTTAAAGAGCATCTGCTGAACTCCCCTCCCCCACCCCAGTTCTGAGAGGAACGGTGCTTTTGAGATGTTGGGAAATCATAGAATCACAGAATGGTTTAGGTTGGAAAGGACCTTGAAGATCATCGAGTTCCAACCCCCCTGCCATGGGCAGGGACACCTCCCACTAGACCAGGTTGCCCAAGGCCACGTCCAGCCTGGCCTTGAACACCTCCAGGGATGGGGCCTCAACAACCTCTCTGGGCAACCTGTTCCAGTGCCTCACCACCCTCAAAGTGAAAAATTTCTTCCTAATGTTTAATCTAAACCTGCCCTCTTCCAGTTTAAAGCCATTCCCCCTCATCCTATCACTACATGTCCTTGTAAAACGTCCCTCCTCAGCTCTCCTGTAGGCCCCCTTTGGGTACTGGAAGGCTGCAATAAGGTCTCCCCGGAGCCTTCTCTTCTCCAGGCTGAACAGCCCCAACTCTCTCAGCCTCTCCTCACAGGAGAGGTGCTCCAGCCCTCGGATCATCCTCCTGGCTTTTCTCTGGGTGCGCTCCAGCAGGTCCATGTCTTATGTTGGGGACTCCAGAGCTGGACACAGTACTCCAGGTGAGGTCGCACCAGAGCAGAGTAGAGGGGCAATAATAACATACTGGTCCTGCTCGTGGCAGGGTTGCCCTGCCGGCGTTGCTGGTGACCGGCAGCAGATGTCAGCAGCCGGTGCTGCTGAGGACATGCGCTGGTGGCCAATGTGGGTGCAAACCCTGGCTTGGGCACTCGCAGGAAGGTGTGCCTTTCCCAGCCTTGCTCTGGCATCGTGCTGTGTTGAAGTAACCAAGGAGGAAGTGCTTCAAAACAAATGCCAGGTGGTTGGGATGAAGGGTGGGTTGAAGTCTGCCGTGTTGCTCTCTTTGGGCTTTGCAGACACTTCAAGAACAGAAACAATTGCCCTAAATCGGGGGCTGCAGTGCGAGACGTGGGGATTCATCTCTGTGGCCCGTGTTCTGCCTATTTTCAGCTCGGTGCAGCTGAGAGCATGGCTGTGTGTTATCTGCGGTCGCGAAGTGAGGTGTTGGCTCTAATTAGAGTGAGGATAAATAAGCAGTTAATCCACTTGCAGCTCGAACACCCACCAGCTCCCCCGCACCGCCTCCCCTGTCCCTGTAACGCCTTTCCTGCCGCAGCGGGAGGAGAGGGTGCTGGGGACGAGCCTGCACCAGCTAGAAACCGAGAACGCAGGAGCAGGATGACAACGAGTGGCTGCTGGCTCCGTCCCCGCCAGACTTACTCTGCTTTGCGGAGCAGAAAAGCCACCGAGCGTGCAGGATCTCTGCTTCAGCCGGGCGCTAATGCTGAAATGTGTGGCGAGCGCCGCTGTGCTCCCGCAGAGCCAGGGGTTTTGCTGTTAGAACTTGATGTGTTTGGGGTTTTTGTTTTTATTTTATTTCAGTTTTCTTCTTTTTGTTAAAGGTGAAGCTGTCTGGCCAGCTCCAGCAAAGCCTTTGAGACTTGAGGCTTAAAGACGGAGATCTTTGTGTCACAACAGGAACGGGGTTTGTTTGTAAAGTATGTGGGTGTTGAAAGGTCTGGTTTGTAAAGGAAAAAAAATAATAAATCTGCCAGGGCTAAGATTGCTTCTGTCTCTGTTGTGGTTACAGCCAAACAGAGCAGGTTTTCTGGTAGGCAATTTCATTGCTTAATTACTGTTCAATCACATCCGCAGTTCAGGGCACAGATTCCTTCATGGGCAGGAGCTGTTTCGCAGAGCAAAGTGATGATGGGCTATTTCTGATCATGGCTAGGATTTTGTTGGGTGACTCGCTTTTTTTTTTCATAGTGAAGATCAACGCATAAGCAAAAGCCCAATGGACAGGAGGTGAGCTGTGAGGACTAATGTGCTGAACGTTGAAGCTCCTTGAGACAAAGGCTTTCTTTGAACCTTTATGATGCTTGGACGTGTGGTTGTCAGTTAAACAGTAATAAGCATGACACCGTTTCATCCGGATCCATCGCTGCTTATTGCTTAGCGGCGATTTCTAGGGCTTGGATTTGTAAGATGATCGGTCGCGTGCTTTCTTTAACGAGGCCCGGTATTCTCGTGGTGGTTTTCCTGCCCATAAAATCAGAATAGGTCCACCTTATTTTTTCCGAGGAGAAGCTGCACGGTGAGGTCTTGTCCACGTGTGGCTGTAAGACCTCTTCCTGATGGAGAAATGCGTGAACGCAAAGCCAGAGCACGGCTCCCAGAATGGGCTGATCTCCTGTGGCCAAGAGAAGGAGAGGAGAGGTGGCTCAGGCTGAGCGTGTTGCTTAGGGATGGCTCCTGTGCTGGAGCAGGGGCAATGCCAAGCAGATGTTTACGTATCCGAGGCTGAAGACCTGCACGGCGTCAGTGACTCAGTGGCTGAATCAGATGAGGAGTGTCCTGGTGCCGGTCCTCAGACTGCAAGGTGCGCCTGGGTGATGCCAGAAAGGCACAGCCTTTGCAGTTCCCATCAGCGTCAGCAGCTCCTGGTGGCAGTTGATGCGTAGCAGATGACCGATCTGACCGTCTCATCGCTGGCTGCTGGGAAAAGAGAAATAGCACCTGCATTGCATTTGGAGCCAATTTAAGAGCTTCCTGCCCCTCTTACCTTCTCCCCTCCCTTGCAAGACTTCCATCCCTTCGTCATCTGCGCCCAGGCACTTCAGCTTGCTCGCCCATCAGGAAGCAGCAGGTCTCTGCAGAGCCTGAGACCAGCCTGACACGCGCTGGAGTCAGCACATGGGAGGGGGCATGGTGGCTTTCCTGGTGGATCTGCCTCGTTGGATCTACTTAAGCATAATTGTGTGGATTCCCTGCTGGTCGGTAGTCTGCCCAGCCATGAGGAGTCAGTCCCTCTTCATGGTAGTGGCTTTTCTATTGCTGGGTGCTCATCCCTGCTTACCCTTCAACTTCCGTAAAGAAACCCACCAGCTCCTTCACACGTAGTCCCTCTTCCCCATGGAACAGGGCGCACGTGGTGGGTCATGCTGGCTGGGCATACCATGCGTCAGACCTGTTCCTGCTCATGGGGCATTTCATACCCATGTTCGATTCTAGCAGGTCCTCTGAATGCTTGATCTAGCAGAGCTCCCTAACCCTTGGGGGAAATCAAGTACCTCCACAGAGGAGAACAGCCTAATTAGGGACAGACTAGAAATGCACCCTCTGTGATCCAGGACAGAGCTCTCTTGCTGCCTCTGCCCAACTCCTCATCTCTTGACTTTCTTGCTCCTTCTGTTTAATAATTTAAAAACACTTCTGGAGCTCTCTCTGCCGAGCATCTTGACATCCCCTTTCCTTTCCAATCTCTCCTCCTCCAGTAGAAACTAACCTTGCAGAGTTTCAGTTTCCGCAGAGACAGAAGTAAAAATAATGTGGAGAAAATGAACTTCAATTTAATTTCTCTGAATCTCAATTCACTCAAACTGGGATGTCATGTTTCTGCCATGTAATTCTGGTTGGGACACTTCTGAGCTGGGCTTGGATTTGCCTGCAAGAAAATAAGATTTTGTTCTCGAAGTCTTCTTGCAGAGCAGTTATTTGTACTGTGTCCAGCGGGTGTGGAGTGAGTGGGAAACCTCAGGGAAAACCACAACTCATT